TGCACGCCTGGGGGAGGGATGAAGATGGGCAGTGGAGACCAGGGTGGGATCGGGAAGGTGGACATCTGCCCTGGGGATCACAGTGAGCGGCTGAGGACTTTGACCAGGAAAGAGTCAGGGCCGGACAGGTATGTGACAAGGCTGACTCAGGCTACAGGGCAGAGGCGGGAAATGGAACCGGAGTCCTGCAGTCATCAGGCCAGGGAGAGGGGTCTGAATGGGCAGTGGGTGCAGAGTGGGGAGGCTACAGGGTGAAAGACTCGGGAGGCAACAGGGAGGGGGCAGGCGAGTCCAGGCTTCTCCTCCCTGGCCCCACAGGCGAGACCGGACCCCCGTACCACCTGTCCAGAGTGGATGGGCCCTCCAGAGGCTTGTTTGTCTGTCTGCCCGTTGCTTCGTCAGCAACTGAGGGGCAGGGATGCGGCCGAGAGGCCTCTGCTCTGTCCCCAGAGCAGGCAGAGCTCAGTACAGTGCAGGCCCTCCCTCGTGCAGGAAGACCTGATGAGGACCAAGGGGCACAGAGGAGCCTCCAAGGGACAGATGACCCTGACAGGCCCATGTGCACCTACATGGGACATCCAGGCTACTTGTTTGTGTGTTTAGTATGTTGCATCCTTGAGCGTTCAGGTTGGGGCCCTTTCTCCCCTCTCCCATGGGGGAAAGGACGGGAGGATTGTAGACAGAGGACTGTTACAATAGACGGTACGCAGGCTCTAGGCAGTGGGCATCAGGAGGGCGCCTGAGCCATCACCCAGAGAGATGGAAATGTGATGATGTCACAGCAAATGGCACAGGAGCTGCTAGACGCCAGAATAACGGCGCCCTGGGAGGGGCCGCCTTGCCGATGCGCCTGCCCAGACAGCACACTCCTGCCCTAGCCAGCTACAACCCCATCTTTCAACGTTGTTTTTCTCTTTAAAAAAATTAATGAAAAAGAGGAAGCCACATGTTAGCAGTGCTAGCCTCCTGGGGCCACTTGGAGATTGTACAATCTGAGCCCAGCATCTCATAGGATTTTGAAGGGTGCAGACAGTCTCTTCACACCGGCTGTAGGAAAGAACATCGGGGAACGTTTCAACAAACCCATCCTCCCTTCCCTGAGCTGTGGAGGGCCGTGTGTGGGCCGGGCCCTGACAGCTGTGGTCCTGCAGACACTCCCAGTGATGTAAGGTGCAGCCAGGCTTCAAAACCACTGGGCTGATGCTGCGTTGTCAGTTGCACACTGAGAGTGATAGCACTTCCTGCCCCCAGATACATTTAGCTCTGCTCAGCCAGTGCCCCGCGGCCGTGAGCCGACCACGGTCGTGCCTGACGACTCTGGCGCGTAGGGGGCTGAATGCATGCTGGCGAATTAGAATCTGCCCCAATGTGGACCCAGCCGAGTGCCAACAGGTCGGGTGACCCGGGGCAGGCTGTCCTCACCCTGTGCACGACAGTTCCTGGCGCCTAGCCCTGTCTGACACAAAGGATGTTTGAAAACACTCTTTTTTTCAGATGTTAGTACTGGGGATTGAACCCAGGACCTCATGAGTGCTAAGCGGGCACTCTACCACTGAGCTACACCATCCCTGGCACAAGGAGTGTTTGATGACTAAAAGAATAATGATCAGGGTCCATTTGCACTGTGGGCGACATTCAGCAGTGGCTCACCAACCTAGTATCGAGTAGGAGAAAATCAGGGGGATACATACACTATGACACCGTTTAACAAAGTCCAAGCGTGGACAAACACACGTTCGTGAGAAAACCAGGAAGAGCAAGGGGTGGCGACACCAAATCAGGATGGAAACAGGCTCGGTTCTGCGCTCCTTCAGCAGGCGGGGCAGGAGCATCCATGTTAGAACAGTAAGACCTGTTCTTTGTCACCACTTTATCGGAAAAAGGAGGAAGTCAGTGATCTCCTCCATCTCTGGAATAGCACTGCGTTTAAAACAACGTGCGTGCGGTGAGGATGCTTCCCCAGAGTCAGACACCGAGCAGCTGTCCCAGGCCCCGGCCCCGAGAGGGTGGCCTGGGTCTAGGAAAAGGCTGAGAGGGGCTGAGGATGAGGATGAACTGTGTGACTTCAAAAGAAAAAGGGAAGCTAGCCTACCGCCTCGTGGGTTGTCTTGAGGCCCCAACAGGCTGGTGGCTGAGGGGATGCTCTCGACTGCACCCAAGAAGTGTCTCTCTTAAAGAAAATTCTTGGAAGGGAAGGATGGCAGAAGGGAGACCTCAGAACCTTGGGCCCTGGTGCCGGGAGCCTGTGTAGACGTCTGTAGCCTCAGACCCAGAGCTGCCAGGCAGAGCAGCTGCGGAGGTCCTGGACCAGGGCCCTCACGCCTGGGTAGCCACACTCATCCTCCTCTGTGCAAAGACTGACAGGAAGCTGCGGTCCGGCTGCTGCTATGTGCTTGGGTGGGAGGAAGGGGACAGATGTGAGAACTGTCTGAACTCATCCGGACTGGGAATCAAGACAAATAAAAATAGAGAGCTAACAGTAAATGGGTGGGAAAGGGGAAGTCAGGTACCAGCCTGCTTGAGGGCCCGAGAGGGAAGCCCAAGGTCATTCAAAGTTATTTCCCTGTGCATCTGCTGCTGTCCCCACTGCCCTGGAATGCCCTCTCCCCTTCTCCCCTTTTCTCCCCAGTAACTCTGCCTTATCTTTCATTGGCTCAGATACCCCCTCCTCCAGGAAGTCCTCCCTCATCTCCCTCCCAGCTTCCCCTGCCCAGACTGGGGCAGTCCTCCCCAACCCATCACACCTCCTGGGCCCTCATAATGTCCCCTGAGAAGCTGGTGTGAGGGCAAAAAGGACTCTCAGTAAACATCGACACTCCCCTCCACCTTGCCAGACTCACCCCTCCTCGGGACCCTCTGCAAAGCTGCAAAGCCTAGCCAGGGCTAGCCCGCAGCCAAGGCGCACAGGCTGCTGACTGGGCACCTAACTGATGCTTTAGGTGCACAGGTGTGTTCTTTCAGCCATTACTGCTCCAGCTTATGACCAGGTGTCACCCTGTTTGGCAGAACAGGACCTGTGGCCCGGCAAGGGAAGCCCCTTATCAGAGAGCACATGGCCGTCAGTGTGGGGATGAGGGTGCACACCTGCATCGTTCGGCCACCAGAGCCCAGGCCCCTGCCTGAGGCACACTTGCCCACCTTCGGCCCCTCTGCAGGTGGTTCTAACGTTTGCTTGGTTGTCACAGTACCTCCCACACAGGAATGTTATCATTAGAAGGGATTTTCAGACCATTTGGCCAAACTCAGTCAACTCTAACTCCCCAGGGCAGTGAAAGTTCAAAATTGGAAATACCCTCTTTGCATCGTAAGAACACATTCCTAAGAGAGGAGACCAAGCCCACTGAGGCTCTTAAAGGAGCCCGTGGAGGCCAGTCTTGAACAGGGCGCACCCTCCCACCAGCCCAGGAGGGTGGTCCTGTGCCCACCTACAGAGAAGGGTGCCGCTTCACAGAGGTGCCCAGCTTGCCCAGCCCCAGCGGGGAGTGGCGCTGGGGTGGCCCAGGTGGGGCCAGCTGGCCCAGTCCCTCGAGCTAGCTCAGGTCAGAGCGGCAGCTGGACTGTCCTGTCCCTCCTCTGTCCTTCTTCATCTCCAAACCCAAATCCAGGCTGACCCCAGGGTCGAGGAGGGGAGAAGCCCGCAGGCCCAGCCCTGTTGCTTCTCTCTCAGCCGGCCGCCTGCAGAGCCGCCAACACCCATTTCCTGGTGTGCGTTTGTGCGGCTGGGGCAGGGGGCATGTAGAACCCTGGGGGGGGGCAGGGCTGGGGAGGGCCCTGGACCTGAGTCCCCCACCCCAGCCCCCGGCTCCCCCTGACTTGTTGAGACATCCTTTTCAAGCACCTGGAGCCCTTCCAAGAACTACACGGAAGGAAGGAGCCGCTCCCACTTCCTCCTGAATCTAGGAATGCTCCCAGCTGGCTCCGTAAGAGAGAAGCCCTGCCCCACAGGAGAAGTGGGGATGGTGACTTCGGCCTCCGAAGAATTCGATGGAATGATCTGGAAGGCCTGATGGGGAGTCAGCCAAGGCCGGCTTTGCCTGAAGCTTTTCACTGCCTGAAACACAGTCCTCACCCTGCGGTGGGCTCTGTTCAGAAGGCCTTTCCCTGCTCCCACGGGGAGTCAGACATTGGAGAGGGAGGCTTGCGTGACCACAGCGCCCCGACACCCACCTCTGGCCCCAGCAGGGTCCTCCCCTCTGGATGGGCCCCTTTCCCCCCCTCTTCCCCTCACCCAACTCTCCCCAGGATGAGGGACCTACCATGGGCCTTGCAGCACTGCCCCAAAACCTGTCCACAGCCTTGATCCCGGCTGCCCCCACTGGCCATCGCTCCTTCTCTGTTCCTATCCTGCTCAGGTCCCCTGCTGGACTGGCCACCATGGTTCTGACCCTGACCTCAGCACCTGGTGCCTGGGGTCGGCACCATCAACCCAGTTCCGTGGACGCCTGGGGCCAGGCGTGCATGTCTTCAGAGCTCCGTCTGCTGCGTGCTGCCCCCAACCCTGGCAACAGACTGGGGACCTGCAATGGCCCTCGGGCCCCAGGACACCCCCTCACACGTGCTCAGCACCCCAAGCCTGGATGCATCCCCTTCCTGCAAGCCTGCCCCCGACTGAGTTCCCATGTTGGCGACTGCACATTCCCCACTTGGCTGACAGAGCCAGACACCCAGGCTCAGCTGGGCGCCTCCCACGCAATCACCCACTCAGTTCCAGTCTCAGCTCTGGGGGATGCTAAGCCTGGACACCACTCGCCGCCCAGTCTTCCCTGTGCCTGCCCCAGGACGAGCCCCAGCCTCCCAGGCCCGGCAACTCCAAGTCTTTGTGTCAGCCCAGGTGCCCCCAAGAAGAAACATCATTTGGGATTAAACAGGCAAGAAATGTATCAGGGGACGCCTGTGAGACAACATGGGGGAGGAGCTGGGGGACCGGCAGGCCCTGTGGTGGAGTGAATTGGGTCCCCCCAAGATTCATGTCCCCCAGGCCCCTCAAAATGTGACCTTACTTGGACAGTATCTTTGCCGACGTAATTAGCTAAGATGAGCTCCTCCTGGATTCGGGGGCCCTGAATCACACCACTCCCTGTACGTTAGGAGCGGAGAGGACAGACACACAGGGGAGGCTGCTGCCTTTGACTGGCTCTCCCATCCAGGCCTGCAGCCTCTGCACCTTGGCCGCACCTCACACACACCCCACGCAGGCCGAGCATCCCCCGGGTACTGCATGCTGGCTCATCCAGCCCTGCGCTGCCCAGCGCGGGAACCAGCCACACACGGCTGCCAGCGCCTGACACGGGCGGGCGTGAAGGGAGCCCACTTTCGTTTCAGACATCGCGAGACAAGAACGTTAGGTGCCTCCTTACTGATTTTCACATTGATTCCATGTGGAAATGAGAACATCTTAGGTCTAGAGTTAAGTGTATTATTAAAATGAATTTCACCCGTTTCTTTTCACTTTGCTTAGCACAGCTGCTAGGTTCTGTCTGTGCCGGCATTCTTCTTCTCTCACACAGGCCTAGTCCGTGTTTAATTATCCTTGGAAAGGAAATCTCAGGGACAAATTCATGTGTGCATGTCCACTGACGTTAACTGAGCACCTACTGCGTGTCAGGGGTGCGGCCCCAACCGGCCAGTTTCTGCCTTCTGGGACCTCCCTAGAGGCCACACTCCGAGGTGGTGGGGGACGTGGGACTCAGATCTGGGGGGCTGTTCCTCATGTTTGCCCCGGAGCGTGTGGGGGTTTGGTGAATGTGGGTGTCAGTTTCTCCTTCTTGGAGACATACTGGTTCAACAACATTTGGAGGCAGCCCGGCACAGGGCTGGGACCCGCTGTGCCTCTCCCTGCCTGAGGGGCCATCTCGCACCTCTGAGATTCTCTAAGCCAAATGGGGTGGTTGTCCCCAGGGCGGCCAAGGGGGACACTGAGCTGGAGTGGGCGACGCACCCACCCAGGGCCGGCACCCAGCAGCCTCTTGGGTCCTGGACCCCAACCACATCCCACCAAACACAGACGCAGGAGGAGGAGTCATAAAGAGAGCTCCTACGGTGTAGTCTGCACTGCGGGGGTTTTCTTACAATCATTTTGAACCTATTTTTATTAAACCTTTTTTAAAGACATGTAAATGAAAGCACCGAGTCAAACTGTAATTCTGCTCTTTCCCTTAACATGAAACCTTTATTGAGACTGAAATTCATTTATGTAAAACAAGCTTTCCTTGAACAGGCCGAGAGCGTCTCCTGCCCTGGTCCGCCCCCAAGTCTTCCGAATCCCCGGACTGGTCAGAAAGTCTGGCTTGTCGCGTCACCACACAGGCAGCGATTTCATGATAGATGTCACGTTCTGGGGGGTACTTTTCCCGAAAGCATTTCATTCTCAGGCTGACTTTTGCCACCGTATCACAAACGCTGAGCATCTGGGCTCTGGTTCCACTTCCTGGCTCACCCAGACCTGATGTATTTGACAGATGCTTAACTGATGATTATAACTGGAAAAAAACAAAAACCACCCAGAGAAACATACAAACAATATAGGCCAGGAAGTGCCTGGCTTCTTCACAACTTGCAAAACGTAGCAGGGAGCTCTTTTTAAAATACTAGTATTTGACTCACGGACATAGAAAACAAACTGTGGTAACCAAAGGGGAAAGGTGAGGCAGGAAAAAATTAGGAGTTTGGGACTAACAGACAGACATTACTATATGTAAACTAGGTAAAGAACAAGGACCCACTGTACAGCACAGGGAACTATATGCAATTTCTTGTAATAACCTATAATGGAAAAGAATCTGAAAATATATGTATACATATGTATAACTGCATCGCTTTGCTGTACATTGGAAACTAACATTGTAAATCAGTAAAAATGAATAAATAAAATAAAATACTGGTATTTGAAAAGATACCTGCAGGTGGGTAACAGCACTGTTGGTCGTTTTAGAATTACCTGCATCCTTCACCACGTAGTCTTCACCACCCTGCCCCCCTAAGAGTGAATATCCATTTTGCACGAGAGAAACCCGGGGCCTGTGCCAGTCAGCCTCTGACAGCGGGCGAGGGGCGAGAGGGTTTGCTGGGCACCTGCTTCCTGTAGGGTCTCCGGTCACGCTCCTCCCGTCAGCCCTACACTCAGCCCGGCTGGGACTCCCAGGAAGCCCACTGCATTAAACTCGGGCTGGGAGGATCCCTGTGGTGGATCGGGAGCTGGGATACCCGAGAGGCCTGGGGAGCCCTCGGGGTCAACGTCCTCACCAACACACACTCAGTAACCCCCCTCCCTGCTGTGGGTTTCTTCCCTGAATGTGTTACTGTAACTGTCCTTCCATCACTCCCGTACCTTGCTGGTCATCTGTCTTCTTGTCCGAAAGGGCAGGAATTTGGCTCTGTTATTCACAGCTATATTCCCAGCACGATAGACTCTCAATGACAATTTTTAGGATAAAGCCTGGAGGAATCTCCTTGAATCCTCAGGACAACCCCTTGAGGGTCCCCTCTGGACACAACCCTGCCATATTTGACTCTTGGCACTGACTGGAACCTGACCTACCAGATACTGGCTTGGTGACCACTGCATCCCAGAGCTCTCCATCAGCCATAGAGACCCTCGGTCGGGAGCCTCAGGGATGACATGGGGGGATGACAACTGTTGAGGGGATGTGGAGCATGTGTAGCTCCGGCCACACCGTGGTTTCCACTGTACAGACAGGGAGAGATCACAGTCTTGGAATTGGGGTGGGGGAATCTAAAATCCTCTCCTGGCCACTCTTCTAAGTCACCTGCAAACTATTTTGTTTAGGTCTTTTTTTTTTAATATTTCAAAAAATTTATTTATTATTGTATTATTTCACTATTTTATTTTGGCTGGGGAGTGGTTTGGTTTATTTATGTTTAGAGAGGGAGGTACTGGAGATTGAACCCAGGACCTCAGGCACACTAAGCATGCACTCTACCACTTGAGCTATACCCTCCTCACATTTTCCTGGAGAAAATATATACATTTAGAACAAGTTGGCTGGACTCAGTTTAGATGATCCCAATGTTAGTAGCATCAAAAGCATCACAGTCTGGAGCCAGCTGAACACATACCTTCTCCCTCCATCAGGGGCTGGCCTCGGCCACACCAGGTCACTGAGCACCATCTCAGTCTGCACGACCGGGTGTCAGAGGCCTTGGCACCCACGATAAACACGGGCTGTTCTCTCTTTTTCTTGCCCACTCGGTGGCCTGGAAACTCAAGCGCAGAGTGCTCAAGCTTGTGGTTCCCAGGGTGCTCTTGCCAGGATGTGTGGGCTGCAGAGGTGGGTGGTATGGGGACCTTCCTTTTCTTTGTGGCTGCATCACCCATCAGCTCTGTCTCCTTGGCCATCTAAGTCTTTGCTTTGGCACTTACCACGGGCCAGTTTCCAAGCTGGAATCTTCACACATTGTTGTTTCGTGAATTCTCACAATATCTCTCTGAAGTAGGTATCGTCACCCCAGTGTACTGGGAAGGAGACTGAGATCAGAGAGAGACAGTGACTTGCCTAAGCAGACAGCCAAGGCAGGACTGAAGTGCTCTGAACTTTCCAGTCCTTCTGCTCCAGCCCAGACTCAATTAGGGGGTAAGTAGAGTTTTCTGACCCCCATTAAAGCCAAAGTATTGAGGCCTCACAGTGGTAAAGAGTCATCTGTTCCGGAGTCCCTTGACCACTCTGGGACTCAGTTTCCCCACCTGTAAAATGGGGTTGGGTGGGGCTGGTGTCTGCCGTCGAGTCCCCTCCTGGCTCTCAGCTCTGGGATCCTAGCACTACCTACTCACCTGTTTGGTTTGGTTTTTAATCCTCTCCTCCCCACAGAGGGGCAATTCCAAAAAAGCTAAGTGAGCCCCTGTCCAGGCTGGGTTTGAGAACCTTCTGGATCAGGCAGGAGCCCCGTGGAAGCGAAAGAGGAAGTGTCCTTCTGTTTACCTCTGTCTGGTGACATCAGGCTTCCTGGCTTTGTGCAAAGCCCACAGGCCCCGCGGCCCACCCGTCCCCAGGGAGGGGGAGCGGGAAGCGCCTCGCTGAGCCGCTGCTCTGGGCGGGCCCGCTCCCCAGAAACAGGAAGCGCTTGTGTGGGGCCAGGTCCCCTCACGGGAGGTGGGGCTCCTTTCTCTTTGAAGCAGGTCTGGCTGCCTTTGGGGATGGCTCCTGGCTGGCAGGCCCCTTTAACCCATGCCTCCCGCGGGGCAGTCAGCGGGGCAAGGCTGCAGCTGCTGGTGGCTCTGGGAGGCCTCTGGCGGCCTCGGAGAGACTCAGAAGGGATGGGTGCAGGCCCCAGCTTTGCACTCACAAGCTGAGTCACCCTGGGCCAGTCACTGGCTTCTCAGGAACCACATTTCCCACCAGGACGTGGGAGCAGGAGAAAGGTGGGAATCAGAAGCCCCGGAGGCCCCCTGTTGGTCCCGGAGCCACCACTCACCAGCTGCATGACCTCGGACAGGTCACAGCCTCAGTTTCTCCATCCGTCTAACGAACAAGTTGGAGCAGTGCGATTCAGAGTGAAAACCAGACAGGATGAAGGTACCACTAGCTCTAAACTGTACACGGTCCACCTGATCCCAATGACAAAGAAATATAAGTCTCCACTCTGCAGGTACGTAGTAGGCCCATGGTGAACAGAGGCCCGCAGGGCAGAGGTGCAGAACTCCACAGTGGGCGGGAGGCTGGGCGCTGAGTCAGACATTCACTCCTCTCTGTTTACTAAGGGCCTGGCGTGTGAGGCCCGGCCGGGCTGGGGGCTGAAGATGCTCCCGTCTCGTGGAATCTCACATTCTAGCCGGTGGAGGCCACCAACAAGCCTAATGCATCGATGAAATCATTTCAGTTTGCATCAAGGGCTGGGATACGGTGGAAAGTGACCAAGGCAGGGGACCCTTGAGCTGAAATGTAAGCGATGAGAAGGCGGAAACCTGGGGAGAGGGAGGAGGAAACTGCTGGGCAAAGACCCTGACAGGGGCCGTTTGCTGTGTCCAGTGTGGCTAGAGAGTGTGGGGAACAGGGAGGATGGGACCAGATGAGGTTGGTGACGAGGCCGGGTCAGATGATGCAGGGCCTTACCAGTCAAGGTGGGGAGGCTGAGTTTAATCTGAGTGCAGCTGGCAAAGAGGGGTGGTTTTAAACCAATGCAACAGGGATCACATTGCATGACCCCCAGGGCCGGGTCATAGGGGGCCACATGGCTTCTGTCTGGTTCTTGAGCACAGTGGCTCTCCATGTGTTTCCACTCAGGATGCTCTCTCTGCAGACACAGCTGCCACATTGGGAGGAAGCCCAGGGTCCAGGGGGCAGTCACGGGAGGGGCTCCAGTCGACAATCCCAGCAGAGCCCGGTCTCCAAGCCATCCGAGCAGGGCTCGGGTCCTGAGAGTGAGATGACCTCCAGTGGCCCCAGCCTGCAACTGCTTGGGTCACCTCCAGTCATGGAGTCGTCCCAGAGCCCAGCTGAGGCCCTGGGCATCACGGAGCAGAGACAAGCCATCCCTGCAGAGCTCTGGCCAAACGCTCAGCCCTCGGAGTCCGAGAGCAAGAGAGCACGCGTGCAGCCGTAGATGTCAGGGCCGCCAGCTGCGACTGTGTTACGTCGGCCCATCTTCAGGCCCTGGCCCACGCCGCGCTCGCGCGAGCACCACGAGCATCATTTTCTCCTTTGCTCACCTTGGCTTATCATTGATAATCTAGATTTGCAGTTTGAGAGCTTGGTTTTGACACCACAGAATTCTTTGTTTCAAATGAAATCTCAGGCAAATCCAAGTGGAACTGGGGTGGGGAGCCCACAGCAACCTTCCCCTGCCCCTTCCTGCCTGGTGGCCCTGGGACAGCCGGGCAACTCAGGGGCCCTCCCCAGTCTGGATGTGGGGGGGTCTCTCTCTTGTCTGTCCTGAAATAGTTAATGGTAGCAGCAGGGGTCATGGTAACAGTGGCAGCTTCCAGGGCTGTCTGGCCCCTCACTCCGTATTTCACGCCCACCCTCTGGTTTGCCATCTGTCCGGGTGCCCAAGGGCACAGACTGGCCAGGTTCCGCCAGTCATCTGCCCACAGGAACCCACTTGTGGGGTTTTCCAGAATTCAGGGAAGTGGTGTGGAGAGTGATCTGCGCCCAGGGCTAAGCATGCAGGAAGCGTTCAGTGGTGCCAAACGAAAGAAAGTTGGTGCTTAGTAATGATTCAGGAGTCACGTCCTCCTTGGGGTCATGACCTCTCAGTTCTGGCCTGGCTCTGTCTGTAATGAGCCAGGTCCCTGCCCTCACCCACCAGGCCTCAATTTCCTCACAGGTGAAATGACACTGCAGACCCCCTCCCCCACTGTCTTATAAGGGACTCGCTGGTCCTGTGGCCAGCGGCTGGGTCAGGAGATGTAGGTCTGGCCGGCCTCTGTGTGACTGCAGACAGGTCACTTTCCTGCCTGGCCCCAGGTTCCTCCTCGGTCTGGCGAGGGTGCAATCACATGCTTTGACTCCAGTGGGCATCAGTGACCACCCTGCATCATTACTCTGGCCACAGCTTGGGTCATGCGGCCTCTCAAGAGGGTGGGTCCCCAGCCCAGGGTCCAGACAGGCCTGCAGAGGGCCCAAGGTCAGGCAAGAAACGGACTCCGGGGGCCACTCTGGTCTCTCACAGGCCTGAAATCTAAAGACAGGAGAGCAGTGCCTATAAGCAGGGAGCCTCCAAGAAATTCCAGGTTTTTAATTCATTTCTAATCTGTTTATGGTTCCCTAAACAGTGGCTCTCAATTGGGGAAATTTTGTCCACAAGGGACATTTGGTAGTTTCTGGAAACATTTTTGATGTCACAGCTGGAGGAGGGGGTGCCTCTGGCATCTAGCTGGTAGAGACCAGGGGTGCTGCTGAGCACCCCACATATACCACAGGACACCCCCCACCCCCGGCAGTGCTGCTGAGCACCCCACATATAACATAGGACCACTCCCACCCCCGGCAGTGCTGCTGAGCACCCCATGTATACCACAGGACAG